AAAATATTTATTTATATCAAATGGCAGGCGTTCTGATAGTTATCATTAGCCCTTTAGTTGACTTCAGGTTTCACAGAGGGGAAGGAACATCAAAGTGGAAAAAGAAGTCGGGAGTGGGGGAACAGAAGAGTGCTTCAAAGACGAAGGTAGAAAAAAGGTGAGGTGAGTACTGTGGAAGTAGTCGAATATAACATACAATGGGGTGAGGGTAGTTTGAAGTCAGAAATCAACTGCCAGTTAATAGACTTTTTTGGCGTATGAATATACGTTGCCCAGGGTGCACCACGTGGAGGTAAGTCAATCGCACACCCCCTGCTTAAAATATTATGTTTACTGTTTCTACTTATCCGCCATTTAAGTAGTCATTTTATTTATTTATTTCTCCCAATAGGGAGTTGTCAGACGTTGATAAAGATGGTCAACTGAGTCTGAGTGAATTCTCCGTTGCAATGCATTTGGTGGTTCTCTGCCGAAATGGAGTCATCTTACCTATCCAACTCCCCGAGAGTTTGCTCCGTGTAGCTACTTCATGTGCACTCTCTGCTCCTGTTCCGCCTCAGTTTCCATTACAACCGCCATATTCTACCCCCTTTGAAGGGTATGTTTGAAATATTCCTCTCTCTTCATATAAATTTCTGGAGGTATTTCAGCCTCTATTTCGGTTTTTTGAGCCGCATGGACAAATTAAAGAATTTCAGAATGTGAAGATAATGGATTTCTTGACATCTCGATCTCATTTCGTATCTCCAATTTATTCCTTTCAGGTTCATTCCCTTCTAGACTTTTTGCTATTTTCGTGTTCACTAGTTAAAACGTATGGAGCTTTGATTGCACAGCTATGATTTATGTTTATCTGGTAGACTATCCTTCCTTTTTTCGTTCCTTAAATTTTTATAAATCGTTAAATAAAGTTGCTTTTCTTCGATGGTGGCAAATCGGCTGCAGGATACCGTTACTCTGACATCGACTAACCTCCCTACAAGACCTCATCCGGTTTGTTGAAAAAAATCGATGCTCGACATGCTTAATCTAGGTCATTTTTCTATCCCTCCCCCCCCTCCCCACAGAAAATGTCTCATCCACTCCATGAATTACAAGCGATGTCGTGATTGGCTGCTCTTCCTCTGTGTTTCAATTGGCTGGATGTTTGTCTCTTCCTTTTATTCGCTTCTGTCTTATACTTTGCTGTTTATTTTTAGTGTGAAAATGAGGCTGAAGTCAATTCTTTTTTTTATAGATATTAAAGCACAACAGATTTGGGCTCTAGACTCTCTTCGTATCTATATTAACTATATTGGAGGTCAAAATACGCCGATGGTTTGATTAGATCGTTTGAAAATTTATCGATATTTGAATACAGTGCCATTTATGCAAATTGGAAGATGGTTTATAATCGTTGACTGGGAATTTTGTTTTCGCTTTATGGCTTTTAGAGGCATTGATATAGAGAATTTCGTAAGAAATAAATTAACTTTAATTAAATTTTCAATTCAGATACTTTGGATATATGTGCAAATTTGTTAAAGCATTTCATGTGATCATTGTGATACCATCTTTATTATAAGAGGACTGTTTTGATTGGCGCTAGTAACATGCCTAGGCTACCGATAAGACGAACTTTTGCATAGTGTCTTTTTTTCTTGAAGAAATATTTAATATTTCTTCAGTTAACGATCCATAGTTAATTTGTTTTTCCAGCTATTGGGGCGTTTTTAATTAGTTTAACTTTCCTTTAACTCCTTTCTTTTTAGTTCTTGCCTGTGGGCATTTCTGTTCTAATTATATGTAGCCAGTTGCCCACCAGAACTGGTCGAAGGGCACCCGCCTTATAATCTCGCCTTAATTTTCTTCCTTGTTCCTCATTTTACTCTCATTTTGAATTGCTTTGCATTAAAATTTATTATTTCTCTGTCACCTCTGTGTGTGAAATTGGCTCTTTTACCAGCTTTAGTAATTTATATTTTGTCGTGAATTTATAATTACCGTGGCAATGACCTTCTGGCACTAGAGAAGCGCATGCAGACCACTTAAATTTTCCGCTTCACCAAAGCATCTATTAATGTGCTATTGCAACTTTTTGTGCAAATATTTAACTCTGCTTAAGTCTATTGTATTATGTAAACCCACCATTCATTCATGGTTATTCGCCATCTATTAAGATATTTTTGTTGGTTACCTATCTTGAAGTCTATTCTTCCCCAACCCTCCAAATTATGCAACAATTCCTTCATTTTCATTATGACTTCACACATAGGTGTTCATAACCCCAACATTAGTATGCTTGTGAAACGTCTGAAGCCTAAACTTATTTTGTGTGGAGGAAGGCACCTCGAAGTCGCTTTTACGTGGAACTCACATTCCTACCACATCGCTTGTTGACCTGAATTAGCCAGTGCAGTAGGTCATCACTGGGTGTGCATCGCACTAAGTGCTATTGATCCTGCATCCTCTGCTTTGATCCTTACTTCATGCAGGAGGTGTCTTCTTTCCGTCAATCAAATGATTTGTGCGTTTGTGTAATTAATTCAATCTGATTCCCATGAGGAAATCTCCATCAAATCTGCATCGGGAAACCTGGTGACAAAATATGTGGTGATTGGCATATCCGCCTCATTAGTGGACCCATTAGTGGAGGAGGTCGGAAGGAAAAGCTGATCTCTTCTTTTGCTATTGTATAATTTTTCCCTTCTAATGGTTAGGGTAATCCCGCTAATTGCATCAACCTCCTTTTAATACTGTTTATGGAAAAGGAATGCACCACGGCCTCTATTATTTTCCTCATTTATTGGCCATTGACCAAGACAAATAAATGTGAGAAAAGTAGCACGTTCTCCCATAATTAAGCCTCTTTTGCCACCCAACAGTGAATTGTGAAGCCACCAATTGTATGGAAATATATTTGTGAAAAGCTAGGATTTATTTCCGCACTTTGAATTGCAGTTGCTCTGGTATAAGATTTCAAATGCCCTATTTCCAGTTGCTTCGCTTCTTATTAAATCATTGAAGTGGCCAATTTGCAATGTTTCAGAATATCATCCACATTTTGGTCTTCTTTCAGAGCTGTTGTCCTAATCCCTCTCTCTCTTCCTCTCTCTCCAATCCTGGTGCAATGCCATTGTCCTGGAAACACATAAGCCTGTCATCACTGAGAGACATGTACGGCTTTATTGCTTATTATTTATTGGTCGAGACCCCATAACTAGATTAATGACAATCAGGGCGTACTAAGACTTTTCTTAGACAGTGATGGGCGTCTTGCGCCCATATTTGGGCCAGAAACCTGAAATTAGGATATTTCTCTGCTTGTTGCTAATGCGATTGAGCTTTGTTCACCGCTAAGTCACGTCACTACGGCATTTTACTTTTTCTCTCCCTTTTCTTCAATTTTAGTTACCGTGCCAGGTATAAATATGCCGCCCACACAACTACAGTTTGACTTAAGCTTTTGCCAAATGTCCCTTTGGAAAGATGTGCTAATTGTCTATTTCTCTGTACTAACAAAATTGCGCAGGAAAAAGGCATGATTGCCTCCTATTGAAGGGGCACAGTTTGGAGGTTATTAAGGCAGTTACTGTGACGTGTTGACAGTGCTACAATGTTGGTTCTTGAAACAATCAAAGGTAGCGTATGTAATGACAAACCGTAGAAGACATAATCGAATCAAGCTGACTCAATAATTGGCACTGTCAGGTCAAGGTGAGTTGATGTGAGTTTTGCGTGACGGTACTAGTTAGTCGAAGGCTCACATAATGAGTTGTAGCATGTACGCTCAACCTGATACACCGCAGAGGTGTGCAGGAATTTAGGCTGGTCTATGAAATAGATAATCGCGCGTAAATAAGTGAAAATCTTCTTAACGAAGCAGTTGAAGTTAATGGCTTGTAATGAATATACACTCATTTTTTGCTAACACAATTGTATCTTACTTTCCTTAACCCATTTACGTCTTAACACCGACGTCAGTATAATTGGTTGATCGTCGATAAGTTGGGCCAACATAGTTGTAAGTTATTCCGATTGGAAAAATGTCATATCCTAGTGATCACAGGTTCCGACGCTCTGTCCAGACTCGATGTCTTGAGAAGGGTGATGAGCATTGGGACCCTATAAAACTGTCACTGCAATAGTATCCTGATGCTAATGGCCAGCCCCTTGAGCGATAGATTCTCTCATTTTCTCATCATCATCTGTGAGTCAGCCTCAAATAAGTAGAATTGCACACTCAGAGATTGGTGCATTCATCTTAATGTTGGTCATTGTTGAATGAGTTAGAAGATAAATTAGGATCAGAGAAGTGTCGAAGGCAACGTTAAGATATCACAGGGTCTTAGTTCAATATGCACCAGATAGGTAGTTCACGTTCCACAATTTAAAAGTCTTAGCTTCTCCCTAATTGGAAACAATCGCTTGGCATTTTTGTAATTAAGAGAAGTCGATCTTGCCTCTTCGTGCTATTTTATTTCTCGTCGAAGATGTTGATGTGGAACACTATTCAACAATTCAAGGCCGTATTGTAATGCATTTGTTCACGTTATTTTCATTTTAGCAAATAATTCGTATCTCTAAATGTTTTAAAGACGCCAATATCTCCCATTTCTTTATGCCTATTATTATAGTTGATTTAATTATCCGATTTTAGGCTGGAGAAGTCTCCGTCTAACTTGCCCACAACGGCTGCTGCTGAGCGTCGATCTAAATTAGGTGAACATAGGTCTTTCGATTCGACTCTCTCAGAATCCGTTGTTATTGCAGGAGTAACTTCTCATCGGCGTTGGTCGGCGTCTAGTCCTTCCACCGACACCGATGGTATTACATCCTTTGATAGACGCCTTGTACCTAATGCTCAAGTGAGTTTCCTTTGTACGAATTGTGCAACTACTTATATCGGTTAGTAAGTAGCAGTTCATTGTAGGTACGTCATCCGATTGCGATTCGAGCCAATCCTGCTCTCTTGAATTCGGTTACACTTCCGACAGCCGCACGTGCACCCACTCCACCTCCTAGAGCTCGAACTAAAACATTGACCTCTGACATCGTCAGTCGGCCTCAACCCGTAAGTTGGAATACTTAAGACAACTTGACGCGAACTTATCTAAAAGTTTGGGAGAAAGGTGTTTATGTGCCTCGTACTGAAGTAGGCGTGATTTCACTATAAAGCACCTAGAGGTGGTCAAATGGTGATATCTGATTATGATACATTTGTCCGATGCCTTATTTGAGCTTTTTATTTATTAAAACTGTTTGACGTTCATGCTTTCTTAACTCGTCGAAACCGATATATCAACTGACTTATTTGGTGTTTATTTAACTAATAAATAGTTATTTTAGTAGGTGAAGTGCGTTTATCGTGCCTTTCCTTAAAGTACGCATTTCTTGTACTTTGAATTTACTTTTAAGTGAAGAACGCAATTGGTTGCCGGGTGCTTAAAGCGCAACTCTGAAATATTCTGCCAAATTGAAAGGCTCTAATATATTGGTTAATTTAACTGAGGATAATTTTGTTGAAGCTCATTAATTTTTTTTTCATTTGAGTAGAAAGTTGTATCAAGGATACTACTACTAGCACAAAGGGGGTGGAGCTATATAGTTCTCAAAGTAATATATAGAGATTATCAGTCTTGAAACGATAATTTGGCAATAGTGTCAGAAGCTGTCTGGTCCTCTTTGTCTTTGAAGACTCCACTCGAAATTAATGAGATTGGTAGATTGGAGCTTAGTTTTAAGTTCGACTTCATGAAAATTGTTGAGTTGACTGTTTTATTAAGGGGGCAACATGGCATATACGGCCGATGAAAAAAATAGGGTCAGTGCTTGTGTGTGATCTTGTTAATCAGGCATAGGCAGTCAAGGCAAATTGGGTAAGTAGGTGGAAAAGCGGGTTGAGGTGGTGTTCAGTGTCCTGGCTACACACTCTCGCGGAGCACTCTTCTCTGCTTTAGTGCTCTCTTGTTAGATAGTCACAAATATTTTGTCTGAAATATGTGAAGATCGCTACTCGGATGACTTCCCTTGATGCACTACCCCACCTATTCCCCAAAATAAAACTGGAATTAAGATATTTTCAGGGGGAAAAGCTGTATATTTGTCCTTCTGATAGGACCACTGTTTAACTCCTTTCTCAAAATCTTATTCACAACGTTGGTATTAAATTCAAACGAAGACAGTTGAAAATTCGGTGTAAATAGTACCTTTTTTCTGAATTATGTGTGCGTGTATATATGCCACCCTTATGGCATATATATATATATTTATAAATTGGTCTAGATGGGAAACTAGTGGCTATCTAGTTAGTTAATAATTGCATCAGAGGTGCGAATTGATGCCCAAACGGGAGTGGACACTAGCAATTGATAAGACATTTCACGGTGGATCAAGCTTGACATAGCCATTCAGATTCACTGAAATTCTCTTTGACTTTCTAACTGACAATATTAACGCTTTGACAGGAACTATCTCCTAGCTCTATCTCATTCGTTACATTATATATATATATCATCCTCTTCATTTGCCTTTTTTGTTTCTCCAGCTGGTCTCTATTCTTCGGCTATGCCATGTTTTATAAATACCAGATATGCCACAATTCATGTGGAGACAATAATGGGCATTTCTCGCGTATATTTATGGAAAGTGACTTTTGCTACTTGCAAAGATAGCACACACTGTGAAATATTACTCTTGGTTGCAGACTACCTTATATACTTCTTGGATTTGAAGTTATATGTCATCATTGAAATTACGACATAGTTGCTGTTTTCTGTCAGTTTTCTTACTCTGGTACATTGAAACCTTTGCAGTGGTGTAAAAGTAAATCTAATATGAGCCAAAATGATATCTTCCAACCTTCTGTGATCCCAAGTAGTGCTCTTTTATAAATCGCTTGCGAGTAAACATGGCAAGATCAGGCAGTTGTTGACGCACGCAGACAGATGCGTTTAGAAATTCTATTTAGCACTTAAGGAACAGTTGCACAAGTGTTGTTACATCCCACTACTGAAGGTGCTTCATTTGGAAATCTTTTACCTGTTGGTTTGTGCGCCGGACATTGATCATAGCATTTGATTCGATTTAGCTCACTTGGTTGATAGGTTTTAACTAATATTGTATTCACATAGGCAGTACATAGTTCTCTTAGCGTTGTAGTTACTCTAGAGAAGGTAAGGTAAGATCAAGAGACTTTCTTCTTATCTAATAACGTCTACTCAGCTCCACTCGCGATTGTTGACCGTTTATGGTGAAAACATTCACGCTTCGTTATATCCTATAAAGGGTTTCATTTGGCTGGAGCTAAACGTTTTAGTTCGATTCCCCCCTTCCTCC